CAGAAGTTGCCTTCAGAAGTTGTGGGAGCTTCATCACTGGAGGCTTTCAAGAAGAGACTGGACTGCCATCGGTCAGAAATGGTGTAGGAGGAGGGGTTGGACTAGATGACCTGCAAGGTCCCTTCCAACTCTGTCAATCTGTTAAAACCTTTACTAAAAAGTCCAATAATGTATGCCTACTATAAGGGCTACTATGAGCTGAATGCGAACATCCCTGCTGATTGTGGAAGTGACTCTTTCAAAGCATCCAGTCTGAGCGTGAAACATTCTTTGAATTCGCTGCAACTTAATCCTAATTAAGAGCCTTATTTTCTGAAGGTCCCACTGCAGTCCTTAGAAACTCTTTTGTGTTCTGTTGCAGGGAATGGAAACAATCTGTTTGGAAACCCAGGAATGCTGCCAATTAGATCCAATGCAGAGGCAGAGAAACAAATAACCCAGATTGTCGCTTGTCGGAGGCGAGTGACATTCCAGTATCCATTTATTGCTGGTTGGGCCACATTTCCTATCAGCGCTGCGTTATCTTCAGCGCTTCAGTTTCACTCTTCTGCAGACCGTTGCTGCAGTTAACTGAAGAAACCCCTCGAAGTTTAGTATATGACTCCGTTTTTGAAGCAAAGATGTCTCAAACTGCAATCTTAGACTGGGCTTCAATGCTGATTGGGCAAAACCGCAGTGCTTCCTCGGAAACGCAGGCATTAAATCCAAACAAGGAACTCTGCAGCAATGTGAATTACACGGAAAAGAGTCGACCGAAGGCTTCCCATAAACAGGGTATGAATTTTAATTCCCCTGTCTCTCCCAGCAGCTGCTAGACACGGAAACACAGACTCTAAATAAGGAGAATCCACAAAGCCTCCGTGAATGTTCCTCTTCCTCCTTTCCCCTTCTCTTTCTTTTCCACCTCCTCTCTTTTCCTCCTCCTCTCTTTTCCTCCTCCTCCTCCTTTCCCCTCTTTCTTTTCCTTCTACTCCTCCTCTTCCTCCTTTCCTTCTCTTTTCTTCCTCCTCCTCCTTTCCTTCTCTTTTCCTCCTCCTCCTTTCTTTTCCTTCTCCTCCTCCTTTCTCCTTTCTTTTCCTCCTCCTCTTTCCTTCTCTTTTCTCCTCCTCCTCCTTTCCTTCTCTTTTCCTCTTCTTCCTCCTTTCTTTTCCTTCTCCTCCTCCTTTCCCCTCTTTCTTTTCCTCCTCCTCCTCTTTCTTTCTGTTTTCCTCCTTCTCTTCCTCCTCTTCCTCCTTTCTTTTCCTCCTCCTTCCCCTTTCTTTTCCTCCTCCTCCTCCTCTTTCCTTCTCTTTTCCTCCTCCTCTTCCTCCTTTCTTTTCCTTCTCCTCCTCCTCCTTTCCCCTCTTTCTTTTCCGCCTCCTCCTCCTCCTCTTCCTTTCTCTTTTCCTCCTCCTCTTCCTCCTTTCTTTTCCTCCTCCTCCTCTTCATATAAGGTCATCAAATCAGAAAGACTTCCACAGTGTGTGTGTGTGTGTGTGTGTGTCAAAGTTATATTTGTTGATAAATATAAATTTGATACAAAATAGTTTGTTGTGAAAGTGACTGCCGGAAGGCTCCTGGATTGGAGCTGAAAGGCGAAAAGAAAGCAGTGTGCTCCCTCCCATATTGGGGTAGACCAGGTCTCCGTGGTCATGTGGCCGGCATGACTCAACGCCAAAGGCGCACGGAACGCTGTTACCTTCCCACCAAAGGTGGTTCCTATTTTTCTACTTGCATTTTTTTTACGTGCTTTCGAACTGCTAGGTTGGCAGAAGCTGGGACAAGGAACGGGAGCTCACCCCGTTACGCGGCACTAGGGATTCAAACCGCTGAACTGCCGACCTTTCAATCAACAAGCGTCTTAGGCACTGAGCCACCGCGTCCCACACAACCCAGTCCAGAAACACGAATGCCTTGGTCTCAAATGTACCATTTCCCTTTAAACATTGGGTCAAAACCGATGCTAAACATTCCTTTTGCAGGACAGTTAATGAACAGAGTGCCACTGGAAATATGTTCTATTTCTGTGCCCTGAAGGCATTGCCCAGATTCAGAGGGAATCTGCTGCTCCTTTTGTTCAGGTTGTGCCTGCTTTTAAAAGGGGGCACCATCTCCCACCAAGCCCCCCAAATCATTTGCATTGCTCTTCTGCTGCTTCTCCCAGCCCTGGAGGAGCCTGCTAAAACTTGTATGCCAAAAGGAGATGATATGAAACTTCTACACTCTTTATGATGCCTCGCTGTGGGTAGAGGAGAGAGTCCAGATCAAGAAAGAACTCTTTTCAGCTGTATGAAAAGTTGTTCTGGAGAAAAGCTTGAAGGCAACCTTGGTCCAGCCACCTCACTTCATTTGGGGGAGGGGGGGTAAGTTGGCTTGACCAAGGTGATCTTGGCCTTGGTTGAGAAGCAGATGCCAAGATGGGCTTTTGACTTGATGCTTCTTCCTCTTCAGCTTATACCCTCTTCCAACATGTATTGCCAATCAAAATCTCCTGCAGAGATTAGTTCAAGTCCCCGAGTCTCCAAGATGCATCATTTTTGATTCCCAATTTCATAGGGACAGTTCAAAGAGACTCCCCAAAAATCCTTTGGCCATGAAGGACGGGCTAATTCCAACATCCTTTTTTTTTTTCAGGGCTATTTCTGATCTCAGATTCATATCGACAGAGTTGGAAGGGACCTTGTAGGTCGTGTAGTCCAATGGCCACCCAAGCAGGAGACTGCTACACCGTTTCTGACAGATGGCGGTCCAGTCTCTTCTTGAAAGCCTCCAGTGATGAAGCTCCCACAACTTCTGAAGGCAACTTTTGTTCCATGGGTTGATTGTTCTCACTGTCAGGAAATTCCTCCTCATTTCCAGGTTGAATCTGAATAGGATGAATCAAAGAAATTGAGTTGTGTGGCTCCCACTTAGTTTTCTTGGGGTACATTGAAAGTAGATTTGGTGTCTCGGCCATTAAATGTGGTTTGGCTTCTCAAAAATGTGTCTCATCTGGTGTGAAATGATCCAGAAAAGAGAAACACCCGAATCAAAAGCAGTAGCAGCCAGAAGCTCAAACTGAATATTATTCTGATGATTTACAACAGAGAGTAGAATTTTCTTCAAAGGCTTCGTGCTGGCTTTAGATGTAGACACTGCCTGCTTTTTTTTTCTCATGGGTGAGCACGAGAATGAATTCAGTGGGACGGCATTGATAGGGGTGGCCCTTCAGATGGAAATTGTTCCTTGTGATGAAGATGACCTATCAAATGGGCGGAAGGTTAACATGTCCAGTTTTGCAGCAAAATAATTTCAGCCAGGGTGGGGAGAGGGGGAGGGGAGGGGGAGAAGAATAGATTGATAAGAGAAAGTTAGAACGGCAAATGCTGCATGAACTACCAATAAAAGGGACCGGCAGGTTGCAGGAAGGTGGAGAAAACATCTGGCTTATTATACTGCATATATGGGCCTTTTGTTCCCAGGGAGAAACTCTTTAGGTCTAAATCTCTCACTATCCCACCCCGCCCAGGGAGCTGAATTTTAAAATCAGCCCCCCCCTTTTTTTTCTCCTCCTTCTCCTCTTCCTCCCTCCTCCCCCTCTCCTTCTCCTCCTCCTCCTCTTCTCCTCTTCCTTCTTCTCTTCTCCTCCTCTTCTCCTTCTCCTCCTTCTCTTCTCCCTCTCCTCTCCTCCTCCTCTTCTCCTCCTTCTCTTCTCCTCCCTCTTCTCCTTCTCCTTCTCTTTCTCCTTCTCCTCCTCCTCCTCCTCTTCTCCTTCTCCTCTTCCTCCTCCTCCTCCTTCCCCTCTTCCTCCTCTCCTCCCCCTCTCCTCCTCCTCCTCTCCTCCTCCTCAGCCCTTGTCTTCATTTATCCCTTTTTAATCTACCTATTTTTTTTCTTAACAGAGATCCACCAAATGTAAGCAGTTCAGCTGGCAGAGAAAATAAGTTTACATGATTAACTTTGACTGTTTTGCAGGGGGGGAAAGTGTGTGTGGGGGGGAAGATGGACCCTCTAATTCCTGAAACCCACCCACCCCCTTTGGGAGGAGAATCCTTACACTTGGAGCAAATACACCCCTCCCCGCCTTCTTCCTCCCTAAAGGAGTCAGCCCTGAGATTTATTCCTGTTTTTTTTTTTTTAAAAAAAAAAAATTCCTTCACCCTGAAAACGAATCAAGCCCCAGTGACTGCCTTTGCATACTCTGGATGCCCTGGACTAAAACTCCCATCATCCCCCAGCTCCTCATCCCCAAGCACTCTCCAATAGGGAAGAGAATATTTGCAGCTCAGGGTTGAACTGTTATTGTCTTTGGGGTTCTGCAAGAAAACCGGCCAAGCTTTGAGATCACCAAGGACCCCACTCTCTAATAGGCTGGCATAGAACTCCCATCATCCCCAGCCTGGGCTCTCTCTCTCCCCCCTGGCACTCTCCAGATTCCTTAAACTGAAACTCCCATCGTTCCCACCCAGATCCTCCCTATCTCCGGGAGGGGAAGAAAAAAAAAAAAAGACGCGGAAATCTCCATCTCCCACCCCACTCCGGAGAGGAGCTCCCATCCTCACTCCATCACTCCGCTTCCATAGGCCGTATTGTCCCTCCCCTCCTCCTCCTCCTCCCGCAGACCCTCCCCCCAAACCCGGGCCAATTGCTCCATTTTCCTCAAACATACCCCACCCCCACTCCCACCCGAAATAGGGCACCCCCGCGGCTGCCACCCCCGCGCACCCACCCACCCCTCTTTTCAGCAGCTGGAGAGCGGCGCTGGCCAGAATCTCCGCCTTGCCCGCCCGCGCAACCCTCTCTACATCCCACCCACCCACCCCCCGCCCTTACCCCCGCCCCACGGCCGGGCAAGACCAGCCCCACGCGTGACGTCAGCCGCGCTGGCTCCGCGCGAGGAGGCCAGCCTGCCCGCAGGCAGCCGAAGTAAGTCAGAGGTCTGGAGGCGCCGGCGGAGCGGAGAGAAACCCGGGCGAGCCGAGCTTTGCGCGCAACGCTGCGCTCTGGCCCTCCTCGCCCCGTCGGAAGGACTGTGCGCCTCCTCCTCCTCTCCTCCTCCTCCTCCTCCTCCTCTTCTTCTTCTTCCTCCTCCTCCTCCACCCACCCGCGCATCCTTACTAGCCAGCCTCGCTTGCACGCTCGCTCGGGGCGCTTGGCACAAAAAAAGAAAGAAAGTCTCGCCAGCCTCTCCGCGCTGGGGGAAGCGGAGGCGGGCGCAGCCCCAGCCCGTGCCCACCTCTGCCCGCCTTCGCTTGCTTTGCAAGCCCGCTTGCCCGCCCCGGATTTTGCCGCTGCTGCTCCTTCGCCTTCGCCTCCCTTCCCTTCCCCGCCGCGGAAGATGCTGACCTCGTGGCTGCGCGCCCGGGCCAAGACGGAGAGGTTGCGATTCTCCGGATGAGTGAGTACCGCAACGGAGCCGAGGGGGCTCTGCGGGGCGCGGGGCGTGGGTGGTTCTGGAAAGGAGGTTGGAGAGGAGGGGGAGACGGACGGACGGACTGTTTCCGTGCTTGGCAGTTTGGAAGTCGAAGGGAGGAAGGGGATGCGGGGGTGCGTGGGGAAGGGGTCGCCGTTCGCAACGGGTAGACTCAAAACTGGAGGGTTTCATTTAGGTTTAGGTTTAGGTTTATTAATTTTGTATACCGCCCTTCTCCCGAAGGACTCAGGGCGGTGAACAGCCAAGATTAAAATACATGCGATATAAAAATTAAAATAAATTAAAAGAGAATTAAATTAAATTTGCTGGTGGTTCTTGGGAAGGGGGGGTGGACCGCTTCGTTTCCTTCAACCCCTCTCCGCCTTTGAGGGGTACAACAAAGTGCCAGCGAGTGGGCTGGGGGGGTATAAAGTAGATTTGAGGTTCCAGAGATGAGGAGGGTTTTTTTTTTGTGGGCTTATTGGGTGGGTGGGTGGGTGGATGGTGGTCGGGGGGCTTGCATTGAGTTGCTTTAGATCTTCTCTCCTTTAACTATATTTATGGAAAGTCACGGAATTTCAAGCCGGAGACGCTACCAACTGGGGTGGTGGTGGAAGGGATCTTGAATTTTCCGTGCCCTCCGTGATTTCCAAAGGAAAGAAAGAGAGCAAACCCCCCCACACCCCGCTTCCCCATCCCCGTTCCTTCTCTCCTCCACAATTTTTCCCCCCACCACCACCACCAAGCCTCGGATTTAATAGGGAAGGTGGGTGATGTTGAATAGAGAGAAATAAGAGAGTCAATTCTGTAGAATCTATAGCTTAGCTGGTTTGGGTTTGTTAAAAAAAGCGTTTTTGTTTGTTTGGGTGTCTGGATAGGACCATCCAGCCTCCCGACAGGGCAAATTAAAGAGCAATGGAAGGAGACACCCCCCCCCAACACTCCCCAGAATCATGGGGAGGGGGGTCTCAAGAGAACCCTCCAACGGGGGTGGGGGGCTTCTCTCTGGTTCCTTTTGTCCGGCTTTCCTAGTGGAAGATGGACAAGGCTTCCCCGACTGATGGGACCCGTTGGGCATAATTAGGCCAAGTGGAAAGTGGGGAGCTTTGAGGAAAGAAAATATTTTTTTTTCTGTGCAACCAAGAGCTATTGATTACACTGGAAATGGAGGGTAGGGGGCCGGCTGGGGCGAAGCCAGTGGGGAGTGGAGATGAGCCAGGCTTCTTCCTGGCACAGAAGAGTTTCCATGGCACAAGAGTGTGAGATGGAGGAGAAAGGGGATGAGCTGCAGAAGTGAAGGGTGAGTTGAGTCAGAAAATTCCCATCCTAAGGGCCCGTCTGGAGAAGGGAAGGGGAACAGGGGTGGGTGGGTGATGGAGAGAAGAAAACTGTTGGCTGGTTGAAAAAACTTCTTCCTCTCTCCCTTTCCCCCCCAAATATTTTGGAAGGGTAGGGAGGAAGGCAGAAGAGGACAACTTGACGAAGAATCCTAAAGAGCAGCTCCAAAGAATCGTAGCTCCGGTGGGGAAGGGAGAGAGGGGTCCAAGGAAGAGAGAAGGTGGGGATGAAAAGGGCAGACATCCCTTCCTCTTGAGGAGGGGCCCCAAAAGGAATGGTAGTGCGGGTGAGGATGAGCGTTGAGGATTGTGTCACATTGCTGCTGCATTGCCTCCAGAATAGTTGGGTGCTGTTTGATTGACGTGCCTTGTTTTCTGCCTTCCTCGTCTCCCTCAAGGATTGACTCTTGGCGCAGAAGGTGGGCTCAAGGCTCCATAAAGATGCAGAAGGGAGTTTGGCTGCTGAGCGTGTTCACAGTAGCTGGGATCGCGCCGACCACAGAGAGCCGCAAACCTGCCAAAGACATTTGCAGCAAGAGCCGCTGCCCTTGCGAGGAGAAGGAGAACGTGCTGAATATTAATTGCGAGAACAAGGGATTTACGACGGTCGGCTTCCTCCTGCCTCCCCCGTCCAAGATCTACCAACTCTTTCTCAACGGGAATGCGTTCGCCCGACTCTACCCCAACGAATTTGTCAACTACTCCAATGCCGTGACGCTCCACTTGGGTTACAACGACATGGAAGAGATTCGAACTGGGGCCTTCCTGGGCCTTCGGATTCTTAAGAGGCTGCACCTCAACAACAACAAGCTGGAGATTTTACGAGAGGACACCTTCCTAGGCTTAGAGAGCCTGGAGTATCTCCAAGCTGACTACAACTACATCACTGCCATTGAGGCGGGGGCTTTCAGCAAACTCAACAAGCTGAAGGTGTTGATCCTCAACGACAACCTGTTGTTATCCCTCCCTAGCAACGTGTTTCGTTTTGTCCTCCTGACCCATCTGGACCTTAGAGGGAACCGGCTAAAAATGATGCCTTTTGCTGGCGTCTTGGAGCACATCGGGGGGATTATGGAGATCCAGCTGGAGGAGAATCCATGGAACTGTACCTGTGACCTTCTTCCTCTCAAAGCTTGGCTAGATACCATCACGGTCTTTGTTGGGGAGATCGTGTGCGAGACCCCTTTCAGGTTGCACGGCAAAGATGTCACCCAACTCACCAGGCAGGACCTCTGCCCTCGAAAAAGTGTGGGCGATTCCAACCCGAGGGAGAAATACCCTCCCCACTCAGACACACACATCCAGAGACTCCCCCCAACAGTTAACTCTGCTGTCGGGGCCACCAGGGCTCCCAAAGCCAGCCGCCCACCCAAAACCAGGAACCGCCCAACCCCACGGGTCACCGTGTCTAAAGACAGGCAGATTTTTGGGCCCATCATGGTTTATCAAACCAAATCTCCCGTGCCCCTAACTTGCCCGAATCTTTGTGCTTGCACTTCGCAAAGTTCTGACAATGGGTTGAACATCAACTGCCAGGAGAAAAGAATTGGCAACATCTCCGATCTCCATCCCAAGCCCACCAGTCCAAAGAAACTCTATTTGACAAGCAATTACTTGCAAACGATATATAGAAGCGATCTCGTGGACTATCCTTCCCTGGACTTGTTACATTTGGGAAACAATAGGATTGCTGTGATCCAAGAAGGTGCCTTTTCTAACCTCACCAGTTTACGCCGGCTTTACCTCAATGGTAACTACCTTGAGGTCTTGTATCCTTCCATGTTTGAAGGGCTCCACAGCTTACAGTATCTCTATTTAGAGTATAACGTGATTAAAGAGATCTTGCCACGCACCTTTGATGCATTGGGCAATCTTCACCTCCTCTTTCTGAACAACAATCTCTTGAGGTCCCTGCCGGACAATGTCTTTGGAGGCACCACCTTAACTAGACTCAACCTGAGAAACAACCATTTCTCGTACCTTCCTGTGCAAGGTGTCCTCGACCAGCTTTCAGCCCTCATTCAAATTGACCTTCAAGAAAACCCGTGGGACTGTACCTGTGATATCATGGGGTTGAGATACTGGATAGAACAAGTCACCGAGCAAAACAATCAGCAGTCAGGAAGCCCGGTGGTAATCAACGAAGTGATCTGTGATTCTCCTGCCAAGCACGCTGGAGAACATCTCAAGACCTTGAGCAAAGAAGCCATCTGCCCCGAGAACCCCAACCTCTTAGATTCTTCTCTCTTGTCCCTCAACCTGAACACCGATATGCCATCAGCCTTCAGTATCTTCCCCAGTGCTTTTCCGGAAATGCGGACTGAAGTCCCCCTTTCCGTCTTAATTTTGGGCCTTCTGGTTGTGTTTATTTTGTCGGTCTGCTTTGGGGCTGGGCTTTTTGTCTTTGTTCTCAAACGCCGTAAGGGTCTGCCAAGTGTGCCCAGCAGTGCCAACAACCTGGACGTCAGTTCCTTCCAACTGCAGTACGGGTGCTACAACAGCGAGGCCCATGAGAAAACGGAAGGGCACGTCTATAACTACATCCCGCCTTCCGTTGGCGAGATGTGCCAGAATCCTATCTACATGCAGAAGGAAGGAGACCCCGTCGCTTACTACAGGAATCTCCACGAATTTAACTACAGCAATCTGGAGCCGAAGAAGGACGATTCTGCCAGCTTCGCCTTCACCATCACCGCGGCAGACATGCTGGAGAAGCAATCTTTTTCGAGAGAGCCTGAACTGTTGTATCAAAACTTGGTGGAGAGGGTGAAGGAGCTGCCCAGCGGAAGCATGGTCCAGTATAATTTCTGCACCCTCCCCAAAAGGCAGTTCACCCCTTCCTACGAGTCCAGGCGACAAAACCAAGACAGGCTCAATAAAACGGTTTTGTACGGGACTCCGAGGAAGTATTTTACGGAACTGTCCAAACCAGATCTCCCTTTGCTGCAAGGAAAGTTGCAGGCCGAACCGGATTACCTCGAAGTATTGGAAAAACAAACTGCCATTAGTCAGTTGTGAAATGGGGAGGGGGGGGAAAGAAGACCTGGGGAAGGGGAGGGTTGCATTGGATGGGTGGGGAAAGTCTTGGAAAAAAAGAGAGCAAGCCAGATCTGAACTGAAGACCTCCAATGAAATTGGTCCCAGAATAAGAATAATATTTTTTTGGGTTTTTTTTTTCTTTCTCATCATCATCATCAATGAAGACATTTTCAGACCAGGCCAGGTTTTTGGATGGGCGTCTTCTACTAAACTCCCTTTAAGTTATTATAATTATTACTATTGTTATGATTTTGCATATCTTCCTCCTTTTTTCCCTCCGTGTTCGGCCTTTTTAAAGAACTGAATGAATGTTTCTTCTCGGAACATTTGCATTGGGTTATTTCTGGGGGAAAAAAGATGAAGAGACGATACGAAAAGGTTCTTTCGATACCCGTGGCCCCATCCAGAGAATTGAGATGGAACAATAATGTCTGAAACCGATGTTCTGTCCTTCCTTCACTAGACTAGGAAATGTCTTTTTCTCTTTCCCTCCCTCCTTTCTTCCCTCCCCCCCTTTTTTATTTTATTTTATTTTGTAAATAAAAATATTGACAGTCCTTCTTTTTCAATGGTTAAGTACAAGCACTGGGCGTCACATTTGTACATGTGCGTTAAAGTGTCTTTGCACTTTAAATACATCATCACGTCATGGTCCGAAGGTAATTGTATTTTATTTTTTACTTAAGGGAAGTGCCCCACTTTGCTACAAGGGGTGATCGCTTAATTGACAAGCAAAATCCCATGTAAGGGAATTTCTGTTTTTTTTTTTAATGGACTGAACTGTAAAAATGTTCTTTTATTCCGCTTTTTATTTCCGGCCTGATTTTTACATACATTTCGAAAATGACTTAAGAATTTAGCTAGTGGATTGGGGGTATCCAGCCCTCTCACTTGGGAGCGATCGTTCTTTAAAAGGAAAAAAGAAAAAAAGTTAACACAAAATCAACACCGCCTGATCCACAGAGCTCCCATAATTGTTAAGCCGCAGCTCCTAACACCGTTATAATGTTCAATGTTTTTCAGATCATTCGCCTAATTAAGGGAACATTACTTTACTTGTAATATATTTTTTTTCTGCATTAAAATTAGATATTTTTATACATTTAAAGCCAAGAGTTTCCATTTCCAGTGTTCGGGGAATATGTGTGTGTGTGTGTGTGTGTACACATACATATATGTACATGTGTGTATATATATACACATACATACCCACAAATATACACCAACACATATGCATATATCTCTCCATGTGTGTGTATATATGTATGTATGTATGTATGTATGTATATATATTAAGTGTTTTTCTACCAAGACACCTGGTCTACCCCAACATGTGGGAGGGGGCATTCTGCTCCCTTTCACCTTTCAGCTCCAATCCAGGAGCCCTCAAGCAGTTGCATTCACCACAAACCATTTTATACCAAATTTACATTTTGCTGATAAAGAAATAAAGGGAGACTAGTATAGATCTATTTCAAGCTTTTTAGCTTTCATCAGCTAGCCATACCCTTACTTGGATTCGAACTTGGGCTTCCTGCATGTTAGGCAGTTGAATTAACCTTCTGAGCCACAAGTTCTCCTCCCTTCATCACTTGAGCCAGGGAAAAGATCAAGTGTTTACCAAGACACCTGGTTACCAAGACTACCCCAACATGTGGGAGGGGGCATTCTGCTCCCTTTTGCCTTTCAGCTCCAATCCAGTCTCCCTTTATTTCTTTATCAGCAAAATGTAAATTATATATATATAAAAATTCCAGATGTAATGTTTGTTTATAGAGATCACATCAAACCAGTATGGATTTTCCCATGGGTCTTTCTATAAGGGGAGGAGAGAACAATTGTAAGGGCTCGTATACAACTATGCTGTAAAAAATATAAGGGCCTTTTTGGTTTACACATAATCAGTCTTTCTCCTTTCCCAGTTAATTCTAAATTTGGCCCAACAAACTAAGTCAGATCCAGTCTCAAATTAGTATTTTTGACGTCTCACTGGTTTCTGTATTGAACTATATTCCTAAAGATATTCATCATAAGTTATGGCTTAGAACAATGGCTCTCAACCTATGGTCTGAGGACCCCTGGGGGCCACGATGTCATCGCAGGGAGTCCATGAAGGTTTGAAGAAAGATTATGATTTCAATCTTGAGTTAGGTCTTAGTGGTTCATGGCCACAAAAGGTATTTAAAGGGGTTCGGTGGTGAAGAATAGATTGAGAATCACCTGCCTAGAATATCATCTAAAACTGAACAAACTATACAATTTTAGTGTCCAAATAGTAGGACTTGTAACCTACACTAAGCTTTAGTTCCCAGTCCCTGCAAGTTCCAGAAGACTTTTACAACCCTTTCTGGTTCATGAATTAACTTCTAGTTTGGGTGGTCAACCTAGAATCCAAAGCAGCGTGAAACAGTGATAAAAATGGCGACATTCATGGATCTCGTCACCCAAGTTTCACTTGTTGTGAAAAACTCAATGGGTTCTGAGTTCTGTCACGGACATTTGAAATTCATTTAAGCAGGGATGCAAATTAATTCAAGTAACCCAATCAATAAACCAATATATTAAGTAAGTAAATAATCCTGCCATTGTTAGAACTGCAAATATTGCCCATAGACAATAAGATATAGTTTTGCCAACCATCTCTGTAGAGTTGTGGATATTCTACTGTTTGGCCTCTTTCTAAACTTCCATGAGAATGGATCACTAATGGTGGCATGCTGACACCATTGGAAGAAGGATCGGCCAATCAGATGCTTGCTTTTTAGCTCCACCTAAACCCATGGCATCAAAGAGAAAGGACGGTGATGGTAACGAGACATTAGAAAACATGCACCGGGTTCTCCTTTCTCCAATGTTATCTGGTGCTCTTCAGATATGTTGAGCTCCGGTCATTTTCTTCCAGCAATGGGGACTATCAATTGAAGAGGATAGAAGTTCAAATCTCAAGACATCTGGAGGACGCCAAGTTGAAGATGGCTATTCCATCACTATTCTGGCCAAGCCAGGAATTCGAGCAAGAAGATGATCCAAAAAGGGAGGACTTACTTTTGGTTCTTGCCATTATTTAAATAAATACATTGATTTTCAACAGCGGGTTTTTGATCTTTTCCTCTAATCAGTTAAGAGTTTTGGTTTTTTTTTTAAATGTTCTTAAATTAAAAAATGCACCCTTAAGAAATAATTAGCAAAATAATTGCCTAGAATATTTGCAGGGCATCTCTTTATATAACCATTTAATTCCAGCCGGGTAGTTTTTGAAAAACCCCCTCTCTCTCTCAAGAACTGTCAATCATTTTTATTCTTCATAACATCTTCGTTTTGATCTGTGAGTGCATAGAGTTTAGTGTGTCTCCACACTTGCTGGGTTTTGTTAAGGAGGATTTTGTTTCCCTTAGAATACACAACAAGTTTTAATTGAATGAATGCCTGATCAATCTTTATGAGCATTAAAATATTTCCTTTTCCTGTCTCCTTAGGTGCAAACATAACTAAGGGAAAGTTCCTTCTCTTTTCCATTTTTTTCCCCTCCTTCCCAACCAATTGCTCTTATTTATAACAAAACCAGTTTTGTTGTTGGCTATTGTAAATCCTTATGCAACTGGGGTGATGCTCAGCATACAAAGTAGGCCAGGCTTTCACTTCCTTATTCAACCAATTGATGGCTCCTGAAAGGAAAGCAGTGTTTCCTTTTCATAAATAGAGTAGTGGAGAAAATAATCCTTTTATTAGGATGCCGATAGAGAACCGGGCTCTTGTCTGATGGGATCTACACATCTTTTTGCAGTTCCTCATGTGATCTAATGATAGGGAGGAATCTGAACTCCAAGGAATTTTGTATCTCTCTCTGTGTGTGTGTATATACATGCACAAACATCTATCTGTATCAACAGTGATTAATTCTGTGCTGTGATTCTTAAAGGAACGGACTATTCAAAGGTCTACAGTAAATAGATCATTAAAAGATCACGATAAATATTTAGAAAGGAACATTATCGGCCACATGCACTGAAATATTTTTTTTTTAAAAAAAATAAAAGTTCTTAATTTACTGTGCCAGGATAGATATAGAGATAGATAGATGGATGGATGGATGATAGATGGATGGATGGATCAATCGATCGATAGAAAGATTAGATAGATGATAGATAGATAGATAGATAGATAGATGATAGATAGATAGATAGATAGATAGATAGATGATAGATGGATGGATGGATGGATGGATGGATGGATGGATGGAGAGAGAGAGATGAGAGAGAGGGGGGGATCTATCTCTGTATAATCTATGATTGGTTATCTATTTTACCTGTCTATCTGTATCTATTATTTATCTATTATCTCTATATTATCCCTTTATAGCAATCAATCAAACAATCAATCATCTATTTACTATCTTTATTATCTCTATTTCTATATATAAACTGTATATCTGTCTATATCTATTATCTATCTGTCTATATCCTCTCTCTCTCTCCCTTTCCCTTTCCCTCTCTCTTCCTCTCCCTCTCCCTTTCTGTCTCCCCCCACTCTCTCTCTCCAGCCCAACAGAAAATAAATTGACCTTTTGACCCAAAATGTAGGGCTTTTTCTGAAGGATACCAAATGGCCTTCTCTTGTCTTAATGTGGCAACCGATCTGTGTTGTCTTCCATGCTCATTTTCTACAGCTAGTTCTCTTAATTTTTTTCCCACGCCTCCCTCCTCATTAGATCAAATTTTATGTTATCTTTATGTTTCAAAACCTACTGGAAAATGCATCTTCCCCAACAGGCAGTGGCTTAAGGGAAGACAAGCAGCACTTGTCAGCCAGAGCTAACTATTTATCCCAGGTGTTAAACTGGGATTTTTTAAAAAAACCCATCTACTGTAGTCTTGAGAAATTATTTGTTTGGAGACTTCTAAAAGTTTGGGGCAGGAGAATTTCTTGGGTTTTACAATGCTTTGTGATCCAAGTTTGACTGCACCTTTGTCCAAATGTATTCCTATTGATACACAATTATCTTTTTAACTTGGGGTAAATGCATATTCTTGTTAAAGAAATATGTGCTACTTTTTATTATACATTTTGCATTACGATGATTACGTATTTGTGATATTCGTGTTCGGTTGACTCCACAAAAGATTCCCAGCCATGTCCTGACCTAATTCTATAAGATTGATAAAAACAACAAAAAGGACAATGTACAATGATCAGTCCAGTATGGCATCCTAGATCTCAAAAGCTCCTTAGAAATGTTCTGTCTCAACTGCTGCTTTTGTATGAAAAAAAATATTGTTGACTTACGACAAGGAAGTTTTATTATAAAGCTGGGTTCGATTTGTTATTTTCTTTTTTCTGCAAAGCCTCAAGCTTTATGTGGAGAAAGCAGGGTTTTTGGTCTGCAGATTTGCAGGTGAATTCTAAACTGTGACATGGCCATGAATTTTACTTGAATGGATGAATGGGGAAATTCAACCGTATTTGTCCCCCTGTCTCCAATATTTTTATAAAAAGGAAATGGTTGCCTCTGGTTCCCTCAATTAAATTTTAAAATAATTAAAATTTTATTTAACTAAGCTTTCGTCAGCCATCTGCTGACGTCGTCAGAGTATTAAACTACCAGTACAGAGATCTCTGCCTTTATATGCCCTTAATCAATTGATTAATGGTAGTTTAATACTCTGATGATGTCAGCAGATGGCTGATGAAAGCTTAGTTAAATAAAATTTTAATTATGTTAAAATTTTAAAATTTTTAAGTTCCGGAGCTCGCAGGATGTATGTATATATGTGTGTGTGTGTGTGTGTGTGTGTGTGTGTGTGTGTGTGTGTCTTTTTAGAAGAACTGCACTGCATTTAACAGGTTTCCTTTTTGGCTAAATCTTAAAGGTCAGACTTATTTTTCATTTTCACAAGGCACAGATGGAAAGGAAGAAAAATCCCATCCCATTAAATAGATATATTTCCCCCAAAATATTCCTGTTTTAGCTCTAGACTGAGTGTTGTCTCCTTGGCTGGAAAGGAGACAAATTTTTGAAATCCCAAAGATGATAATGTTGTCATCAAACAATGACCAAGTTTTGAAACTGTACTAATACATGAGGATCTAAAAGAAAGGTAAG